TTCTGAAGCTGGTAATATAGGCATCTTAAATTAACAACTGTATGTTACGTGGCAGTCTTGCAAACATAACATTCTACAAATTCGAAATAAGGAACTTCTGACCCCCCCCTGCAAAGTCATGAAATTCAACTATCTAGCAAGTCTTGTATCATATTTATCAGAAAGTTCAAGAATCACTCATATTTCTCGCTAGCTACCAGACTCTTGTACGGAACCTTGGGCTTGTGGAACCCAGGCCTCAGGCTGGCTTCGCGGGAGCCACCCATCTATGGAGGAGGGTGTTGTCCAACGAACTGTTTGTTTTAGTTGGAGTAGCACCTGCTGCTTTGCAGAAGTGAAGGTGCAAGTCAGGAATTGTTATGGATATCTTGTCTACAAGCTGCAGCCGACGTCTTTCGTAGTCAAAGCGAGATATTGTATAGGTAAGTATTCCGTTAGTTTCTTCGAATCAGTTTACAGCAAGCTGTTGGATGCCATTCTTGGTAAGATTTTTTTGATGTGTCCAAACTTTTCTCATCGTCATTTTTTCAAACCTAGCCTATTCAAGGCGTTGAGTTAGTAGGCACGATAGCAGGCGTTAGAGCATAAAAAGCGCGGGGCTTGGGTCGGGTCAAATAAAAGAGGGCTATGCGACCCGACCCAAACCTCCCTCCTTTTTTCGACCCGACCCAAGCCTCCCTCCTTTTTTCGACCCGGCCCAAACGCCCAAGCATCCTTCCTTTTTTCGACCCGGCCTAAGCCTCCCTCCTCTTTTCGACTCGACCCAAACCTCCCTCCTTTTTTCGAATCGACCCAAACTTCCCCCTCTCTTCGTTTCCTGACCGGAACAGACTTTCCCTGACTTCTGATCAGGACTAATAAATCAGAAATTTGGAAAAAAAACAACAACAAGAAAATCAAAACAAGAACAAAGAGGTCAGTTTTTATTGAGCCACTTTAATACGCTATAGAAGCTGTATATCGTGTTACAAAATCTCTGACTCCTTTTTGCTTTCAAATCCTAGAAAACTCGGCCATCCATTATGAGGACGCTTTCTTCTATCTCCCCGTGTCGAAAGCTGGTGTTCCGTTGGCACTGACAGGTCACATGATTCATTTGGAATATCACGTGACATCACCATGGAAATGTATGGCCTACTGCCTCGTAGAGATGACGTGTGAGTCATTCACCTACCTTTCCCAGGATAACACATGTGAGCTTAACAACAGGACTGGAACCAGTAGCAAGCAAGGCTTGAGAGAAAGACCTGGTACTGAGTATTACGAGAGGATGAACTTACTTCAATGAAGAGTCCAGTTCTAAAGGCTAAATTAAGCAAACAGTGATTTGTGAAGGAGAAAGCCTTGTTTTCGTTCTTACCAGCTGTATCATCTTCTGAGATCTAGACCTAAACATACAGTAAAACATACAGTAGTAAATCGAATTCTACATAATTAATTTTTTACAAGCGACTCAATTTAAATTATAGCAAGTTACGCTTTGCTGGTAAATTTCTTGAGAGAGGGCATCGGAGTAATTAGCTAATTTTCGCTCTTCTACACTTGTGGTAACACTTGCTGTAACTCAAAACTGTTCTACGCGAGTGGTCTAATAATTGTGCGCCTTCAATAGGATCACTAGGGAAGTTAACCTGTAAATAATCTGTTTAAACTTGTCGCTGCTAATTGTGAGATAATTTTTATATGCTTGTCAAGAGCTAAGAGCATGCAAGGTCGACAAACGGAACATGGCTCGAAGCTAGATTTCTGCCCTTTGTCAGAAAAAGTTATATAACTTCGCCTACTATTAAACGTGCCACAACACGCAAATGATTTCGAGACATTGATTGAACGACACTTTCACAATGCCTTTCCAGAGCAACAAGATTACTAATTGGAGGACTATTCTGGAACTGGAACTGGAAGAGTCGAGGTGAAAAAGTTTCGCTTCGTTTTGTCGCTATTCAGGTTTTCTAGAGTAATTATCATTGTTGTTCATTGTTTTCTTTTTATCCTGCGTCACTCGGCCGGATCTTGACAGGTCTTCTCAGCGAGGATAAGCCCGAAGAAAAACAAGTAATTCTGTTGCTTAATATGAGATTAACCCCCGCGACCGAAAAAGAAAAAAATTCTCTAAGCACTCTGCGTGATTCTGAAATTTTGTGCTGTTAGCTGTTGTTTTGCGTTGAAAGGCCGCAATTGAATGGACAGCTTTTTCCTTTTTGTCGCAACAAGTGTAAGCTATTGTTTCTCTCTCATTAAGACTTTTATTCAAGGACGTTTTCTTTGCGTTTTAGAATTGCCTTCGAGTCTTTTGAAAGACGAGTGTGAACCGGACCTCATCAAATCAGTTATTTTCGTGGTTAGAAGAAATTTGAAGTGGGAGGCAGGCGTAAAATATTCTTTTCGGGGCCTAAAATTTTTCTGTCATCGTTTCATTCCAATTCTATTTTATATTCATTTTTTATTTTGGCAGTAAAATATGTTTGGTTAATCTCTTTCCGATTGCGTGACGCAAATTTTACGGTCTCCGTGAAACCACTTTTCTTCCGTTAGGGGGCCTTAGGACGTGTTTTAGCCGTGTTACACATTTCCTGTCCCTTCTCAAAACCACCTATTTTCCCTAAGAAAATTCTAGAAAAGTTCAGATACTTTAAACTGATAGGAAAGGACACCCTTTGGTCGCGTTGGAGATAACGGACGCCACAGAATTATTTGATTCGGCAACAGGAATCAAAGGTGACAGTTCGAGAACGCCTCTGAGAAAGAAACTGACAGAAAGAGATCAATGACGCGTGAAAACAATTGCTTAGGTATGACACTGAAATGCAAATTTATGCTCTTATTTAGGATATTTTCCCCGCCCACAAACTTGATATTAAGGAAAGTGAAAACAACCAAAAAGTTCCACTCGTCTGCAGTTTCATTGAGCTATGACCTAAAGATGTCAAATATTTCTTTAGAGACTGTACCCGAAAATGTATTAGGATCGCGGAATTTGGCCCAGAAAATCGTCGAAATCTGCTTGCTTTTCATCATCATTGTGTTAGCTCTCGGAGGAAATGTGTTGGTTTGTATAACAATCTACAGAAAGCGAGTGTTACGGACGATTACCAACATGTTCATCGTTACACTGTGTGTGACAGACATTTTGCTCGCGTCAATTGCTATGCCTCTCACTCTTGGATCTTTGATTATGGACCACTGGCCATTCGGTGAATTGGTTTGTCAAATTCAGGGATTCAGTATTCACCTCCTGGTTTTCCAATCGCTTCAAATCATAACTATAACAGCGTCGAATCGAAACTTGAACGTGGTTCGTCCACATTTTTACAAAAGAATTTTTACGAAGCTGAAAACTTTGCTCATTATTATCGCTATCAGCCTCTTCACAGCTGTCATAATGGGAACTCTGGTTATTTCACTCTCCTCGCGTTATGTGTTCCACCCTCGAAAAGCCATTTGCGTTATGACTTTCCCGTCCATCGAACACAGTCGTCGCTTCACGATTATCTTCAGTATTTTCTTCGTAGGTTTCCCCGCTGTTGTCATTCTTGCGTGTTACGCGCGAGTTTTACACACAATTCGCACTCACCGCCGAGAATACGAAACCGCGCGAGGAGAACACGATTCAAGATCGATTTTAAGCCGAGAAGAAGTCAAACTATCCAAGATTGTTTTCATCATCATTTTAGGGTTTTCGTTATGTTGGATACCATGTGTAATTATAGATATTGCTGATACCACACAAACGAAGTGGTTTCCCCGCGAAGTCTATATGTTTTACACATTTCTAGCCTACACCAGTGCAGTTTTAAACCCTTGGATATATGGTTTTATGAACAAAATGGTTCGAAAAGAGATGTATCATTTATTAACGTTATGCAGAATTCGTTCTTAAAGGTAAAAATGTTCTCTTGTAATTTATTCAAAATTTGAAAATTTTTTTATGCTTTCATGCATGTACAACAGTTTTTAAATTTAAACTTACGTAATTATATAAATATTTTAATGGCTATTTAAAAGTAAATGTTTCTAAAAGTTATGCTTACACGCCTTAATCTGGAGTTAAACTTATTGAAATGCCGTAGGCAAATTATTTACACGAAACCTAACGGGGAAAAAAAAGAATGAAAAAATAAATTTTAAACTTAACAAAAATGTATGGTTCGCGTGATTAGTTTTACGGAGACATCAATCTTAAGTAAGATAAACACCATATCTCTCGATATCATTTTTAATCAGGAGAGCTATCTTGCGGCATATTAGTATTGCACCGTTAATATGGAAGATAACAATGGTTTTATCCACCACTTACTAATTCACCTGCTCGGGTAATAAAGAGATAGTGAAGAATAACCTGTCAAAAGCACTACAGAGCGAGAGACTATTAATTAATTATCGCAGCACGAATGCTGCTCCTTTCGTCAAGGAGTTAAGATTTGTCTAAAAATACCCCTTTGGCGACAAATATTTTTATTTCATAAGCGAAGCATTCTTGAAAGACTCGACGACAGAAATTACGTAGCTTTAAGACTTCTTTCTTATTGAAATTGAAAACTGCTGTCCTGACCCTAAGTCTGACGCCATGCAATTGAAAACGACTATCTTCTGTTTTGAGATTGAAAACTAAACCTTTTTTCCGCACGCGTTTTGTCGATTATCTGAAGCGGTACGTCATACTTTGCGTTAATGAAAGGTTTCTATCGCATCGTTGTTTGTGTTACAAAGCTGTATTTTACATTACTCAAATGTCTTAAAACATAGTAGAAAGCTTTTAACTTGATCGGTTTATTTTAAGCTTCTGAAAACTAACGCCAAGTATTAATGAGATGTTTCGATTATGTTTGCTACACAAAGAATCTGTCACGTAAATGAAACATGCGAGATTTGAATTAAAAAAATATCACATAGCTTAAAATCTAGGAAACGGTATTTAAAAAAATTGAAAGAGTTTTATTTGAGATAACCACGCGGATTTTTTTTCCTTAGGTTAACATTGCATTTGGTGATACTCTGTTATTATGAAGTAGCACAGCTGGTACAACATAATCATTTTAACTGCTACTCACGAAACTTAACCTAAGAGGGGAGGGGAGGGGGAGGCAAAGTGTTTCTAAGCGAAGCGTGAGCAATCTCGTAAATTTTACAAAAAGGCAAGGTGACGTGAGGTTTTAAGTTTTTGCTTTTTTACATAACGCGTGATTCTTTCTTTAAAATCCATGCGCGAAACGACATCAGACCCCCCTCCCCTCCCTCCTTTGCTACGCTCTGATCCAAAATAACACCTTTTCTGCGTAGAGTTCGTTTGATTACAACGAGTAAGATACTGATTACAGACAGGATAAACATCATAAATGATATATTTATACGTATTGTAGGCACTACAATAGTTTCCTTCCAGTAATTCTATTTTTCTGATAAATAACATCGATTTAAACTCAGATGATACCCGGTCTCATGCTCTAGTAATCTGAATGAAATTTGTACATTTCACTCAAAATTTGGTTGGTGAATGTTGACTGAAATATAAACTGGAAAAAGAAAAAGGAAGAAAAAATAACAGATATTTGACACGCAAAGTTGACCCTCAGTCCGGGTCACGCGAGGGATTCGATGACGCACCCATACTGCTCCCACGATATCTCGGACAGCGGTCTTTCGTTATAAAAAACCCAGTCAGCAGTTCGAATTCTTCGCAGCTACCAAATTTGAGATTACGGCAGGGACTTCATGGCGTCGAAAGAATTTGAATCTTGGCAGACGAAAAGAAAGAACATCAAAGAACGCATCGAGTTTATGTTTAACAACCCATTGATGAGCGACATATCTTTTGTGATTAAAGATTCTGAGGGTTCCGATGTCATCTTCTCGGCACATAAGTTCGTGCTAGCGGTGAGCAGCCCAGTTTTGTATGCTATGTTTTTCGGCGATTTAGCGGAGAGTAAAAGAAGAATTGAGCTTCCTGACTGTGATTCAGAAAGCTTTGAAGAGTTTCTTCGCTTTCTTTATTGCGACGAAGTCAAGCTCACTGGAAGTTGCGTTATGCAAGTTTCATACTTAGCAAAGAAGTACATTGTTCCGGAACTTGAAATCGAATGTACGAAATTCTTGACCGAAAATCTCTCGCCGGAAAATGTCTTCGACATTTTGCCTCATGCTAAAAAGTTCGAAGACAACGAGCTTGTGACTCGCTGCTGGGAGGTTGTGGATGCGAGGGCCGAAGAAGTGCTAAGATCTGAATCGTTCTCGTCCATCGCAACGGAACTACTCGAAGAAATTGTGGTTCGAGATTCTCTGGCGATTCACGAAGTGAACCTTTTCGAAGCCGTTGATCGATGGGCAGATGTGGAGTGTGAGCGACAAGAGATTGAACCCTCTAAAGAAAATAAAAGAAGGGTAACTGGCGAGGAAGTTATAAACAACATTCGTTTTCCGCTGATGACGCAGGAGCAATTTGCTGAAAAGGTTCCAACATCTGGGCTCCTCACCAAAGACGATGTCATCGAGATGTTCATGTGGTATAGCTCTGTTACAATAAGCATGAAATTCCCAAAACGTCCAAGGAAGTTAATTCCTCCTCGTGTGTTTTCCCGCTGCAAGAGATTCCCTCAGGTCAGCCATGGATGGGCATATTCTAGCGGTATACCCGATGGGGTGGTTTTTGCCGTAGATACCCCTGTGTATATGGGTGGGGTCCGTCTGTTTGGGAGCAGAGGGTTCTCGTATGATGTCTCTCTCAAGCTGTCTTTGCTGGTGGAGGGTAACTGCCGGGATCAAGAGTTGTACTCTATTGATGGTTCTTACGAGACTGAAGCAGAGAAGACAAATGGATACTTTGGTTTCGATATAATCTTTGATGATCTTGTGCAGCTACAACCCAATGTGCAGTACCACATTTCTGCATTGATCTCCGGGGTTAGTTCATGGTATGGCTCTGGTGGGCTGAGTGTCGTGGAATGTGATGGTTCATGCTTTAGGTTCACTAGCCAGTCAAGTCCAAATGGCACAAATGATGCAGGGGGACAGTTTGCAGAGATTTTGTTTCACAAAAGATAATGTTATGAAATTTAAAAATTGTTCAGCCTTCAGCTATCATTTCTGCATTATGAGTGTGTTTACAAGTAGGCTGCCATAACCCTTTATACACTGATGCAGTATGTATATTCTCCGTACTGTTCTGTCAACATTTCCTAAGGTGCTCACATAGAGAATTAAGCAATCAAGAGCTTATTTAGTTGGTGATCATCACCATTATTCCTGTAAACTTTATGTTTGATTCAGGGGTGATGTGTAAGGAGAAATTAGAGGCTAGTCACTCTTAGGTGTGAAACAGTTTAGTGTGTCACACTGTCTGCTGGTTTTTCTGTTGATTGAGTATTAAAAGCATTCATTTGGGCATGATTTTTTGTATTTGTTGTATTGTTTTTATCAATTTATTTTGTGTAAGACAAATATTGACTGTACATCACTATTACCCCTGTAACTCTCAGTGATTAACAAGTTACTTCTCCCTATAATATCCATACATTATCCAGCAAACAAGTGATGAGAATACTCAAAGTTATCAGACAGAAATTGTTATGTTGATCCAACACCAAATACTTGTAACTAATTTACAAGGAAATGTATAGCAGCTAGTGGGGAGAATTAAAAATCAGATCTTGGGAGTCACATGTAAAGGGTTAAGATCATACAATACAACACTAAACACTACACCAAAACAATTTAAAATCACTTCTCAACAAAAAGTAAGCCATATAGCAAACTAGTCACCATAAAATTTACCAAGTGTTTTTTCCT